TCACACTCCAACAGCACGTCAAGTATTAAAAACCATTTGTCTTCATTCACTCCTATCAAACATGCTCACGCATGCCCACTGGAAGTCCAAGCCCCTCGCACACAAAACCTCCTTTACCCCCTCCCTCCAATCTTTCCTAGACCGACTCCTACCCCGCCTTCCTTCCACTACAGACTAATACACCCTTGAAGTCATTCTGTTTCATTCCATTCTCTCTACATGTCCAAACCACCTCAACAACCCTTCCTCAGCCCTCTGGACAACAGTTTTGGCAATCCCGCACCTCCTCCTAACTTCCAAACTACGAGTTCTCTGCATTATATTCACACCACACACTGCCCTCAGACATGACATCTCCACTGCCTCCAGCCTTCTCCTCGCTGCAACATTCATCACCCATGCTTCACACCCGTATTAGAGCGTTGGTAAAAACTATACTCTCATACATTCCCCTCTTTGCCTCCAAGGACAAAGTTCTTTGTCTCCACAGACTCCTAAGTGCACCACTTATCCTTTTCCCCTCATCAATTCTATGATTCACCTCATCTTTCATAGACCCATCCGCTGACACGTCCACTCCCAAATATCTGAATACATTCACCTCCTCCATACTCTCTCCCTCCAATCTGATATCCAATTTTTCATCACCTAATCTTTTTATCCTCATAACTTTACTCTTTCCTGTATTCACTTATAATTTTCCTCTTTTGCATACCCTACCAAATTCATCCACCAACCTTTGCAACTTCTCTTCAGAATCTCCCAAGAGCACAGTGTCATCAGCAAAGAGCAACTGTGACAACTCCCACTTTATGCGTGATTCTTTATCTCTTAACTCCATGCCTCTTGCCAAGACCCTCGCATTTACTTCTCTTACAACCCCATCTATAAATATATTAAACAACCATGGTGACATCACACATCCTTGTCTAAGGCCTACTTTTACTGGGAAATAATCTCCCTCCTTCCTGCATATTCTAACTTGAGCCTCACTATCCTCGTAAAAACTCTTCACTGCTTTCAGTAACCTACCTCCTATACCATACATCTGCAACATCTGCCACATTACGCCCCTATCCACCCTGTCATACGCCTTTTCCAAATCCATAAATGCCACAAAAACCTCTTTAGCCTTATCTAAATACTGTTCGCTTATATGTTTCACTGTAAACACCTGGTCCACACACCCCCTACCTTTCCTAAAGCCTCCTTGTTCATCTGCTATCCTATTCTCTGTCTTTTAATTCTTTCAGTAATAACTCTACCATACACTTTACCAGGTATACTCAACAGACTTATCCCCCTATAATTTTTGCACTCTCTTTTGTCCCCTTTGCCTTTATACAAAGAAACTATGTATGCTCTCTGCCAATCCCTAGATACCTTACCCTCTTCCATACATTTATTAAATAATAGCACCAACCACTCCAAAACTATATCCCCACCTGCTTTTAACATTTCTATCTTTATCCCATCAATCCCAGCTGCCTTACCCCCTTTCATTTTACCTACTGCCTCATGAACTTCCCCCACACTCACAATTGGCTCTTCCTCACTCCTACAAGATGTTATTCCTCCTTGCCCTATACATGAAATCACAGCTTCCCTATCTTCATCAACATTTAACAATTCCTCAAAATATTCCCTCCATCTTCCCAATACCTCTAACTCTCCATTTAATAACTCTCCTCTCCTATTTTTAATTGACAAATCCATTTGTTCTCTAGGCTTCCTTAACTTGTTAATCTCACTCCAAAACTTTTTCTTATTTTCAACAAAATTTGTTGATAACATCTCACCCACTCTCTCATTTGCTCTCTTTTTACATTGCTTCATCACTCTCTTAACCTCTCTTTTTCTCCATATACTCTTCCTTCCTTGCATCATTTCTACTTTGTAAAAATTTCTCATATGCTAACTTTTTCTCCCTTACTACTTTCTTTACATCAACATTCCACCAATCGCTCCTCTTCCCTCCCGCACCCACTTTCCTGTAACCACAAACTTCTGCTGAACATTCTAACACTACATTTTTAAACCTACCCCATACTTCTTCGACCCCATTGCCTATGCTCTCATTACCCATCTATCCTCCAATAGCTGTTTATATTTTACCCTAACTGCCTCCTCTTTTAGTTTATAAACCTTCACCTCTCTCTTCCCTGATGCTTCTATTCTCCTTGCATCCCATCTACCTTTTACTCTGTGTAGCTACAACTAAAAAGTGATCTGATATATCTGTGGCCCCTCTACAAACATGTACATCCTGAAGTCTACTCAACAGTCTTCTATCTACCAATACTTAATCCAACAAACTACTGTCATTTCGCCCTACATCATATCTTGTATACTTATTTATCCTCTTTTTCTTAAAATATGTATTACCTATAACTAAACTCCTTTCTATACAAAGTTCAATCAAAGGACTCCCATTATCATTTACACCTGGCACCCCAAACTTACCTACCACACCCTCTAAAAGTTTCTCCTACTTTAGGATTTAGGTCCCCTACCACAATTACTCTCTCACTTGGTTCACAGGTTCCTATACATTCACTTAACATCTCCCAAACTCACTCTCTCTCTCCTCTACATTCGTGTCTTCTCCAGGTGCATACACGCTTATTATGACCCACTTTTTGCTTCCAACCTTCACTTTAATCCACATAATCCTTGAATTTACACATTCATATTCTCTTTTCTCCCTCCATAACTGATCCTTCAACATTATTGCTACCCCTTCCTTAGCTCTATCTCTCTCAGATACTCCAGATTTAATTTATTTATTTATTTATTTCCAATTTGAGCACACATATAGAGGTACAAAAAAATACAGATAAGAGCAGCATGCCAAAGCCACTTATACTATGCATAGCATTACGGGCTGGCTTAAAATTAACTTAAGATTAACTAAGCAATGATGAAATCAGTGATAAAACATTAATGTAAACAGATTACTATAAAGCACAAGTGAGTATTACAAAGACAGGTCATATGGTTGCATTCAGTCATATGAAGGATTCTGTTAGGTAGTGTATTTAAAAAATAATAAAGTTAGATTTGGTTTTAGGTTTAACATTTATGTGATATAATTGTGAGAAACATTTAAGATATACAATTTATAAGGTTCAGTTATTCAGTATTTATTTGGTTTTGGGTGAGTAAGTGATTTTTGAGAAGAGACTTGAATTATAAACAGGTAGTGTTTCTTTTATATTTACAGGTAATGAATTCCAGATTTTCGGGCCTTTTATGTGCATTGAGTTTTTGCATAGTGTGAGATGGACACGAGGAACATCAAAGAGTGATCTGTGCCTTGTGTTATGGTCATGTGTTCTGTTGAGGTTGGCAAGGAGATGTTTGAGGGAGGGTTAATATCAGAGTTAAGTGTTCTATGTATGTAATAGGTGCAGTAATAAGTATGGATGTTTTGTATGGTGAGTAGGTTTAGTGTATTGAATATTGGTGGAGTGTGCTGCCTGTAGTGAGAATTTGTTATCATTCTAACTGCAGCCTTTTGTTGGGTAATTAGTGGTCTGAGATGGTTAATTGTTGTTGAGCCCCATGCACAAATTCCATAGGTGAGATAGGGGTAAATAAGAGAGTGATATAGGGCCAGGAGGGCTGACTGTGGAACATAGTACCGTATCTTCGATAGTATGCCTACAGTCTTGGAAATTTTCTCCCATTTATTCCCCCCCACTGAAACTCCCCCACCCCCTTCAGCTTTGTTTTGCTTAGGGCCAGGACATCCAACTTCTTTTCATTCATAACATCAGCAATCATCTGTTTCTCGTCATCCGCACTACATCCACGCACATTCAAGCATCCCAGTTTTATAAAGTTTTTCTTCCTCTATTTTTTAGTAAATGTTTACAGGAGAAGGGGTTACTAGCTCCCGGCATTTTAGTCGCCTCATACGACATGCATGGCTTACGGAGGAAAGATTCTTTTTCACTTCCCCATGGACAATAGAAGAAATAAAGAAGAACAAGAGCTATTTAGAAAAAGGAGAAAAACCTAGATTTTTTTTTTTTTTTTTCAACAAGTCGGCCGTCTCCCACCGAGGCAGGGTGACCCAAAAAAGAAAGAAAATCCCCAAAAAGAAAATACATTCATCATCATTCAACACTTTCACCACACTCGCACATTATCACTGTTTTTGCAGAGGTGCTCAGAATACAACAGTCTAGAAGCATACACATATAAAGATACACAACATATCCCTCCAAACTGCCAATATCCCAAACCCCTCCTTTAAAGTGCAGGCACTGTACTTCCCATTTCCAGGACTCAAGTCCGACTATATGAAAAAAAACCTAGATGTATGTATATATATATATATGCATGTGCGTGTCTGTGAAGTGTGACCAAATGTAAGTAGGAGTAGCAAGATATCCCTATTATCATACATTTATTAAACAAAAATACCAACCACTCCAACACTATATCCCCCCTGCTTTTAACATTTCTGTCATGATCCCGTCAGTTCCAGCTGCTTTACCCCCTTTCATTCTACATAATACCTCATGCACCTCCCCACACTCACATCCTGTTCTTCTTCACTCCTAAAAGATGGTATACCTCCTTGTCCAGTGCATGAAATTACCGCCTCCCTTTCTTCGTCGACATTTAAAACTTCCTGAAAATATTCTCGCCATCTACCCAAAACCTCCCTCTCCCCATCTACTAACTCCCCTACTCTGTTTTTAACTGACAAATCCATTTGTTCCCTAGGCTTTCTTAACTTGCTTAACTCACTCCATAAATTGTAGTCCAGAAGAACTGGACTTTAGTTCCTTCTCATAGTACCCCTGGCAATATTTCATTTGATTTTGATACCTTTGATGTGTCATGTGTCATCAGGTTCTTCTGCACTTCCTCACTACTCATTTCAGTGTTGGATGTTAAAACTGTTCCACTCGATATTCCTAGTGCCAACAATTCTCTCATAAAATCAACAATTACTACATTAATAACACTGTAAGCTACAAACTCACACTATGAAAGAGCATAGAGTGGCCTATGCGAGATTTGATGTCTTGAGGCCCAGAGGAGTTGTCTGAACAATCTTCCCTTAATTTGGTCCATGTGTTGGTGGCTACATGGTAGGCATAAAGACCAGAGAAAATAGCTTCACTAGGAGTGTAGTTACTACTTCGTTGTTCATCCAACCCGAGCCTACAAGAAGAAACACTTTAAAGGTTTATCAATTAAAACAGAAGATGCCAATTTAATACAAACATACATATGCTCCTGCAACTACAAATAGGCATAGTAATTACACAAATTATATTATGGATATACTGTTTTTATCATGTGATGTACACAGAAACATTATAATACTGCACTTATATTACACATCAGATACTTCTTACCAAGATAGGGTGACTCAAAGAATATACTACAAATTCAACATCACTTGCTCCCTAGGTAGGTAGAAGGTTGGTAGACAGCAACCACCCAGGGAGGTACTACCGTCCTGCCAAGTGAGTGTAAAACGAAAGCCTGTAATTGTTTTACATGATGGTAGGATTTCTGGTGTCCTTTTTTCTGTCTCATGAGCATGCAAGATTTCAGGTACGTCTTGCTACTTCTACGTACATTTAGGTCACACTACACATACATGTACAAGCATGTATATTCACACCCCTCTGGGTTTTCTGCTATTTTCTTTCAAGTTCTTGTTCTTGTTTATTTCCTCTTATCTCTATGAGGAAGTGGAACAGAATTCTTCCTCCGTAAGCCATGCGTGTTGTAAGAGGCGACTAAAATGCCGGGAGCAAGGGGCTAGTAACCCCTTCTCCTGCATATATTAATAAATGTAAAAGGAGAAACTTTCGTTTTTCCTTTTGGGCCACCCCGCCGCGGTGGGATACGGCCGGTATGTTGAAAGAAAGAAAGAAGTCTGTTGAGTATACCTGGTAAAGTGTATGGTAGAGTTATTATTGAAAGAATTAAGAGTAAGACAGAAAGCAGGATAGCAGATGAACAAGGAGGCTTCAGGAAGGGTAGGGGGTGTGTAGACCAAGTGTTTGCAGTGAAACATATAGGTGTGAGCAGGGTAATATTTAGTGAAGGGGTTCAGGGAAACCGGTTATTTTTATATAGCCGGACTTAGAGTCCTGGAAATGGGAAGTACAATGCCTGCACTCTAAAGGAGGGGTTCGGGATATTAGCAGTTTGGAGGGATATGCTGTGTATCTTTTTACGTATATGTATCTGAACTGTTGTGTTCTGAGCACCTCTGCAAAAATATTGATTATGTGTGAGTGAGGTGAAAGTGTTGAATGATGATGAAAGTATTTTCTTTTAGGGGATTTTCTTTCTTTTTTGGGTCACCCTGCCTCGGTGGGAGACGGCCAACTTGTTAAAAAAAAAAAGTATTTAGGTAAGGGTAAAGAGGTATTTGTGGCAGATGTTGCAAATGTATAGAATAGGAGGTAGGTTATTGAAAGCAGTAAAAAGTTTTTACGAGGATAGTGAGGTTCAGGTTAGAGTACATAGGCGAGAGGGAGATTATTTCCCCATAAAAGTAAGCCTTAGACAGGGATGTGTTATGTCACCATGGTTATTCAATATATTTAGAGATGGAGTTGTAAGAGAAGTGAATACTCAGGTGTTGGCAAGAGGAATGGGGTTAAAAAATAAAGAATCTAGCACAAAGTGGAAGTTGTCACAGTTGCTCTTTGCTGATGACACTGTGCTTTTGGGGGATTCTGAAGGGAAGTTGCAGAGGTTGGTTGATGAGTTTGGTTGGGTATGTAAAAGAAAGAAATTAAAAGTGAATATAGGAAAGACTAAGGTGATGAAGATAACAAAAAAAAAAATAGGTAATGGAAGATTGGATATCAGATTGGAGGGAGAGAGTACGGAAGAGGTGAATGTGTTCAGATATTTTGGAGTGGATGTGTCAGCAGATGGTTCTATGAAGGATGAGGTGAATCATAGAATTAATGAGGGAAAAAAGGTGAGTGGTGCACTGAGGAGTCTGTGGAGACAAAGAGCTTTATCCATGAAAGCAAAGAGAGGAATGTATGAGAGTATAGTTATACCAATGCTCTGGTATGGATGTGAGGCATGGGTTGTGAATGTTGCAACAAGGAGAAGGCTGGAAGCAGTGGAGAAGTCATGTCTGAGGACAATGTGTGGTGTGAATATAATGCAGAGAATCTGTAGTTTGGAGATTAGGAGGTGGTGTGGGAATACCACAACTATTATCCAAAGGGCTGAGGAGGGGTTACTGAGATGGTTTGGACATGTAGAGAGGTTGGAACGAAACAGAATGACTTCGACAGTGTATATATCTGTAATGGAGGGAAGGCGGGGTAGGGGTCAGCCTAGGAAAGCTTGGAGGGAGGGGGTAAAGGAGGCTTTGTGTGCAAGGGGCTTGGATTTCCAGCATGCGTGAGCATGTTAGATAGGAGCGAATGGAGACAAATGGTTTTTAGGACTTGATGTGCTGTTTGAGTGTAAGCAAGGTAACATTCATGAAGGGATTCAAGGAAACTGGCAGGCCGGACTTGATTCCTGGAGATGGGAAGTACAGTGCCGGCACTCTGAAGGAGGGGTGTTAATGTTGCAGTTTTATAACTGAAGTGTAAGCATGCCTCTGGCAAGACAGTGATGGAGTGAGTGATAATGAAAGTATTTTTTTTTTCGGGTCACCCTGCCTTGGTGGGAAATGGTCAATGTGTTAATAATAAAAAAAAATTGCTCCCTAACTTGTTTTTTTCCAGAAAGGCACCAACTTTATGATCTAAAGATGACACACACCTTTTGTATCCGTCTTACAAAGTGCAGGCATTATATACTGTAAATAGTTCTCACTCCACAGTCTGGCTAATTAGTTTCCTTACTTTTTTTTTTTTTAACATGTCGGCTGTTTCCCACTGAGGCAGGGTGACACAAAATTAAAGAGAAAACTTTCATTATCATTCAACATTTTCACCATCACTCATATATAATCACTGTCTCAGCAGAGGCGCTCAGATACGACAGCTTAGATGTCCCTGCAAACTGCCAATATCCCAAACCCCTCCTTTAAAGTGCAGGCATGGTAGTTCCCATATCTGGGAGTGGTATCGGCACAGCTCTTGCCAGAGGTGTGCCAGTACCACAGTTCAAAAACTGCAACGTATCTCCATCCCTCCTTCAGTGTGCAGGCACTGTACTTTCCACATTCATGTGGGGAGCACTAAAACAGGGGAACAGGATGAAAGAAGGTCCAATCCAATAGATGGACAGATTTAGTTCCTTGGATCCATCTTCCCCTTTGATCAAGAGCACCCTCACAGGCATCAAGGCACCTCAATGAAAGGGAATTGTGTAAGGAATATTTTTTATATTATTTTATTATCACACTGGCCGATTCCCACCAAGGCAGGGTGGCCCGAAAAAGAAAAACTTTCACCATCATTCACTCCATCACTGTCTTGCCAGAAGGGTGCTTTACACTACAGTTTTTAAACTGCAACATTAACACCCCTCCTTCAGAGTGCAGGCACTGTACTTCCCATCTCCAGGACTCAAGTCCGGCCTGCCGGTTTCCCTGAACCCCTTCATAAATGTTACTTTGCTCACACTCCAACAGCACGTCAAGTATTAAAAACCATTTGTCTCCTTTCACTCCTATCAAACACGCTCATGCATGCCTGCTGGAAGTCCAAGCCCCTCGCACACAAAACCTCCTTTACCCCCTCCCTCCAACCTTTCCTAGGCCGACCCCTACCCCGCTTCCTTCCCACTACAGACTGATACACTCTTGAAGTCATTCTGTTTCGCTCCATTCTCTCTAATGTCCGAATCACCTCAACAACCCTTTCCTCAGCCCTCTGGACAACAGTTTTTGGTAATCCCCCCACCACCTCCTAACTTCCCAAAATACGAATTCTCTGCATTATATTCACACCAACATTGCCCTCAGACATGACATCTCCCCCTGCCTCCAGCCCTTTTCCTCGCTGCAACATTCTCACCCATGCTTCACACCCATAAAAAGAGTGTTGGTAAAACTATACTCTCATACATTCCCCTCTTTCCTCCAATGACAAAGTTCTTTGTCTCCACAGACTCCTAAGTGCACCACTCACCCTTTTCCCCTCATCAATTCTATGATTCACCTTATCTTTTATAGACCCATCCGCTGACAACGTCCACTCCCAAATATCTGAATACATTCACCTCCTCCATCTCTCTCCCCCCAATCTGATATCCAATCTTTCATCACCTAATCTTTTTATCCTCATAACCTCACTCTTTCCTGTATTCACTTTTAATATTCTTCTTTTGCATACCCTACCAAATTCATCCACCAATCTCTGCAACTTCTCTTCAGAATCTCCCAAGAGCACAGTGTCATCAGCAAAGAGCAACTGTGACAACTCCCACTTTATGAGTGATTCTTTATCTTTTAACTCCACGCCTCTTGCCAAGAACCAATCTCCTACACCATACACCTGCAACATCTGCCACACTGCCCCCCTATCCACCCTGTCATACACCTTTTCCAAATCCATAAATGCCACAATGACCTCTATAGCCTTATCTAAATACTGTTCACTTATGTGTTTCACTGTAAACACCTGGTCCACACACCCCCTACCTTTCCTAAAGCCTCCTTGTTCATCTGCTATCCTATTCTCCGTCTTACTCTTAATTCTTTCAATAACAACTCTACCATACACTTTACCAGGTATACTCAACAGACTTATTCCCCTATAATTTTTGCACTCTCTTTTGTCCCCTTTGCCTTTATACAAAGGAACTATGCATGCTCTCTGCCAATCCCTAGATACCTTACCTTCTTCCATACATTTAAATTTAAAAAATTGCACCCAAACCCCTCCAAAACTATATCCCCACCTGCCCTTTTAACATTTCTATCTTTTTCCCATCAATCCCAGCTCCCTTACCCCCTTTCATTTTACCTACTGCCCCACGAACTTTCCCACACTCACAACTGGCTCTTCCTCCCTCCTACAAGATGTTTTTCCTCCTTGCCCTATACACGAAATCACAGCTTCCTTATCCCTTTATCAACGTTTAACAATTCCTTGAAATATTCCCTCCATCTTCCCAATACCTCTAACTCCTCCATTTAATAACTCTCCTCTCCAATTTTTAACGACAAATCCATTTTTTTCTAGGCTTCCTTAACTTGTTAATCTCACTCCAAAACT